TGATACGTAGTTTATATTTCTGATCAAAATTTATGTTGCTTCCCTACTAATTTTATTTTTATTAGAAAGTATAAAAGAAATAATTAGGGGGAAAATAAAGTATTTCCCTCGATTATATAATATATGAGATTACTATATAATATATTGTACAAAATATAATAAATAATAATAATAATAATAATAATAATAATAATAATAATAATAATAATAATATCATATTAATAATATAGAATATTTTATTTCTTTTTACTGCCTCTTTGTAGTTAACATAACACGGTTTTCTTTGTTTTTCAGAACACGTCACCCATCTATTTTACTAATTGTGACTTTAATGATTTAACGATAACTATTGTTATTATCCAACGTGGTTAAGCCGTTGAGACACAATATTATTTTTATAATATTATATTATAATTATGTAATATTTATATTCCAATATTATTTAATATAAGTACTGTAGAATAAAAATATGTACACAAATAAGAAGTCAAACAAACAAACAAAATAAGTTTAGATCCAGTAGGATTGATCTATTCGATACACGTGACTCTTGTATTTTCAGGTTCTTCATCTCTTTCATTCTTTCTTCCGTTATTTTCTTTCTCTTTTATATAGTTTTTATTATTTTTATTTTTATTTTTATTTTTATTTTTATTTTACGCTTTCACAATACGTATATATATGTTACTGATCGCTATCGAGACGGATCGCGATTTAAACGACACAAAACATGAAAGCTCCGATATCGTTCCCGTTCGGAATCCTTCATAAAACGTTATTAATCCGAACGTTTTATCCGGCTCTCTCTTCTTTCATTTGAGTTCGATCGATCCAGCTGGACGGCGACTTGCTATTATTGGCATCGAGAGATAAAGGAGATGACAAGAAGATGAGCACCTTCGTAAATTTTCCCTTCACGGTAGATGAGTTGGTAAGTGTTTGGTACGCTGGTCTGTCTCTCTTGAAAATTCTACAATACTACAAAGAACGCATAGTTTAATTAATTGTAAAGAGTCGAGTCTTACGACTCTCCTTGCAGAAAGAAGCTTTTGCATATTCCAGCCTTATATCACTCAGTCTTTATTACAAATGTACGGATGTGAAGTAGTAAAAGAGGAAACCGGAAAAGCTCAGTGAGCTTGGTCGTACTATTCGTTTGTACCGTTGAGAAAGAAAGAGAGAAAAAAATAGAGAAATAAAATACAGGAAGAGAGTTTATAAATTGAAGAAAACTGTATATACTTTTCTTTTATATAACTAGAATACTATTCAATAGTGCTTAGAGTTTAACTAGCACCGTTCTCACCAAAGTCTCACAGAAAAACCGAACTTTAAAAGATCTTTTTTATTCTTGAAAACTACCTACTAAAAGTGAAACGCTTCTTATATCAATTTTTATCCGCGTCAAAGAAATGAACGAACTAACGATAAATGCTATACACGCGTTTAGGACCTCGAAAAGCCAAGCACGAGTTACAAGTCAAAATAGGTCAAAGGAGTGAACGCGCATGACTAACTACTGTTTCTATAGTAACGATACGACACTTTTGGTTAACCTAAACAGCGTTAACCATCGTCATTACATCGTATGCTTGTCCCAGTATTACGGCTATTAGTGTCATTCAAGAATAAATGTTTGATTTGTCGATTTTAATATATTTGTTCATCATTTTTATTTGATAATTATTTCATTCAACTAATATTATACTGCAAACATACAATATTGTAATAAAGAATTGAATATCATTGTTTGAGTGCTTAAAAATCTGAGAATAAGTCATGGCTGAATTAACGAATCCACGAATCGGAAAATGATTGTATAAACAAAGCTTTCGTCTATTAATTTAACGTAACGTAATGAAAAATACCTATTGCAACGCTAATGTATGACATTGTTTATCGAGATGTTGCCTCAAAATATAATATTTCAGGTAAAAGCGTAAAAGCTAACGAATATTCCAATAGAATTCGTAAAAGCGGTAGCAACTAACAGTATTCCACGTTAAAAAGACTTTTATGATGAAATAATTCGTAAAGGCGAGTTATTATATCGGGCTCAAAGGTAGTTACGAAGGTACATAACGGGTGCAAATGAAAAAAAACAAAAAGGAAAAAAAGAACAAAAAAAGAAAAAAAGAGAGAGAGAAAGCAAGTTTCATCCGGAAGTAGAGTACTCGATGAATAAAACGAATTACTCGATCGATGTCACTGAAGTCTTGCTTGTTATTTTGAATATAAATATACATACCTACTTGATGGAAGAAAGAAAAGTCACCTAAAAACGATCGAATTACTTAAGTGTATTCAAATATTTATTTTTGTCGTCAGGAAACAAAAAAAAATCATTGCCGTTGATTTAGGAATGCAGGGACCTTGCGCATCCTCTTTCAGTCGAACGAAAGCAATCACAGCGAATACAACGGGTTAATATTTTTTTCCCACGATAGAGTTTCGCTACTCCCTCGGTCAGGCCAATATTGGTATCGAAAAACTGTCGATATAATACCGCCCTGGGCCATGCCATTGAGGATTGTGAACTAGAAAAAGAGATAGAGAGAGGGAGATATGTATAAAGAGTGAGTGAATGCAAAAAAAAGAGAGAAGAGAGAGGATCCATTCTTCGAAAACTCGAGAGCTTCATTTCCTTCCGTCCTCATTACTGCCACTTCTCTTTTTATCGTCCTCTGACAAACCGGAAAAGGGAGAGAAGAAGAGAGGACTAGGAGGAGACACTCTGTGTCTAATGAGCCTCTTGCTCGCATCGGACGAGTGTGGACGAGTGTTCCTGTTCAGTCTCACCTCAGTGCCGTAGAACAACGACACTCTTGAATGCACAATTACAAGCCTGCAGAAAAAGCCAGAGGCCATTCGTCTTCTTTCACGCTCTCTCTCTCTCTCTCTCTCTTTCTCTCTCTGTATCTCTCTTTCTTTCTCTGCTATGGCTCGCATCTCTCTACTGGAATACTGAATCAAACGTGACGAATTACAAATCAGAAAACACATTCTGTTTTTTCAACAAATTTTCAGATTTTTTAAGACCAACTTTCTACCTAGAACTTTTTCTTTCTATAGTTAAAAACTTTTGAGATTACTTTAATAACAATCTGAAAGTAAGATCTTTCTTTTTAGTTTCTTTTCTTTTCTTTAAAGAGTTACTATATCACTATGTATATAACAATTATTCGTATACATAAATACCTATGTATCATGCATTTATAATAAACGACAAATATTTTATAGAGAATGAGAAAGAAAGGATAAAAATAATATAGAGAGAAGTATGATGTATCGTGTCTAATGAGTATTTTTTTACTATTCATGAAAAAAGCATTCTTTTTAGCCCTTTTCTTAATGAAAGCAGAGCAATCCTCGCTTTTTTCAGATTCGCATAAGAATGTGCTCTGCTTTCTAGAACTCTAGGAAATTGAAATGGAAACTACATACTCCTCAACGTATTTAAAAGAAAGCGAAGTTTTGCTAAATTCCATTTTGCGTAAATGGATGCACAGAGTGAACACAGTATAGCCTCGCGGTATTTTAAAAGTTCTTCTATTTATTCGAAAAAGAAAGAGAAACAAATTACGAAAAGTGCATTTTACTGCACTATTTTTAAAAAAGTTATCTGTTCTGAAAATATTTCTTTCAGTCTAACCATGCGATGATATATTTACATTAGTCACGAAATTTTCTCGCATTTCGACAAATTTTGTTAATTTTTTTCTGTTCGTGGAATACTATGACAATATATTTAACACACACATGCATATTTTAGATAGGTTAAAAAAAAAATAGAAAAATACGATAAAAAGTCAAGAGAGACGTTTTTGTGGGTATTTTGTTTCCAGTATACTATTGTAGAATCTCCGATATCGTCCTTTATAAAGCTAAAGCTTTTTTAGTAAGTTTTAAAATGTTCGAGACTGCGTGACCCGCGATCGTATTACGGAAAATTGGAAACTTTGTAACGCGAGAGCCATCGAAGTTACAACATTTCTATTGTACCTGGATTAGGGCCGATTCCGCTAATGCGGTTTAAAATTTAAATCGAGTTTAACCGCGCTACGTTCACCAATCAAGGGCCTAAACTTTCCAGTTAAATAGTGTTCGAATTCTAATCCACTGTCCGTTGAAACTGGTTACTAGAATATTCGGCTTGCATGCGAGCACGTAAATCTACACAAATTGCTTAAATATTTCCGAGCGAATTCTAAATATGGTTTAATACTTCGTGTACCTTCATTTTCTTTAAATGGCAAGGTAAACTTTATTATAGTTTCTAATTGAAATTAAAATTAATGTTTTCTTTTAAAATTAATCGAACAATTTCATAGAAATTAAAACAAAAGACATTTTTTCAGCTATGCTACCTTATCCATTTTTTGTATCTATTTTCAATAAACTCCTAAATAAAATCAAATAACCAACGTTTATAACATTTGGAAATAGCAATCATTTCTTTTGATACGTTTACGTAAAACGATCTACGTGTTTTTGGTCTACGGATGCACGCACGAATTTATGGATCTATAAGATTCGCGCGCAGAATCCATAAATCTTGACGTCCGTACATTTATCGATTTATTCCTATCTTCAAAGATTTACGCAACCATGCTGCCCTGGATTCGACTGTCGAAATATTTGTATGGATCAGTTTGATAGGTAGCCACGTATCTATGACTATGAAACGATAAATCATTGTAAATGTAAGACGTGATAAGGATATTGTACGTGATGCGTTATTTTTTTTTTATAAATTTTTTATTTATTTGTTAAATTTCATATAGAAAAAATGAGAAAGACGAATTTTATGTCTTATTGCACATAATATTTTACGAACAATGATTTAATACATCGACAGATGCACCTTCATATTTATCGTCAAGAAATTGAATATCTTTGACAATTGAGAGCGTAAAATCGATTTGCGAGAGGTCGTAAACGTTTTATCGCGAAATTTAGGTTAAATGACTTTTCTCGTGAAGAATATCTAGCAAAGTATTATGAAAAACGGGGGTTTGTTGAAACGATTTTTCAGACACGGACATTTGCCGATACGTGAAGTAAATATTTTAGAGCATTATCTCGTTTCTACGTAAATACGAGCCTCATGAACTAACTTTTACAGGATGACTGCTCGTACCTTTGGCATGTTCCTGCAGCTGAACGTTGCGAATGGGTTGAGAAAACGCAAGACTGTTACACGGACTCCGTAGTTCAGTATACCGCAATGCTCTTTTGCATTTTCCGATCGGAAAGTATACCCCTATTTGTCTGCGGTATTTTTCTCATAATTCTCTGGCTCTCCTATCTTTTACTCATTCTTGGGACAACGGTAGATAGTTTGTATGTTATTACAAATATTTTAACTCAAATTATTACGTTATTTGTTGTTAAAATAATGTTCGATAACTTGAAATTTAAATTTTATTTTGAACTAACAATGAACGTATTACAAAATAATTACAAAACGTAATGCGAGCTAATGAAATTAAATGATAAAATCAGAAATTGATTAACCAGCGAGAAAATAATTTATAGAGACGTTTACTGTTTATGTTCGTACGTCATCTCGCATTATGGAGTTTCATATAGCAAACAAAAAATCGATCGTAGTTGTTGGAGGTAGAAAATTGTGTCAGCGTATCTGGGGAAAACGATCTACTCTACCAGCCGGTAAATCCTTTTAAACTTATCGTTATTATTGGAACATGAACGAACGAACGTATGAAGGAACAAACGAACAAAAAACTGAGGAAAAATGATGACGTCAGGAAAAAGTTAAGGATTCCGCGTAAATCAGTTTGAGAGACGTGTAACATTATTCTAGGTGTAGCTAAACACACTCGGACAATTTTCATATTTTATTCGAAGTAGATTTTTCCTATATATAGTCGCGTTTCTTTATTGGGTCGATCAGCAAAATTCTTGCTATAGCAAAGTGGCTTTAAGAGACGACAAATGGATTTTAAAAAAGAAAAAGAAAGGGAAAGACTAAAACAATTTTGTAAAATGTTTTTTTATAACACGCATGTTATAAGAAACGCGAAAGCAACATTGGGTTCTTCAAAAAGGTCGAGTTTACATTCGAAAAATTAAGAATCCGTAAACGAATTATTTTCTTCCACTTCGAATCACGAATCGATGAACGAATTACGTGACATGTTTGACGATACTATACGTGATTTCTAGCTATGAAATCTTTCGCGTGAGCGTGCTTATATAGACATACATCGAACATTCTCAATATATCGTGAAATATCGATAAAATTTATCGCTATCATAGATGTATATAATATTTCGTATTATACCTTTTTTTATTTTTCTTTTGTTGTCTTTTATTTGATCGTTGATTGATGACGTTAGTAAAATATCAATAGGAGCTTTCAAGTCGGTATTAATTAAAAATGAACTGTTTTGAGGGGACAAAACAAAAAACCAATCGTAGCTGTGTTTTCACGTTTGATTTGAGAAATTGTAAAATCATTAATTCGATTTGCTTTTTGATTAAATGATTTTTTAAAGTCCATAAGTAGCTTAGCAGTAATTTTGTACCATGCTTCTCGTTTGTCTTTACTTTCTACTAGTTTCCAGTATAATAGCTGGTAATTCAAAGTAAAATACGATGGGATTTTAATCGAAAGACCGACGAGTTGAACGTTTTTACGGCGTACCATTAAAAAGAAGCGCAACTTGACGTCGACCTACACGATGGTAGGTAGTAGTCGGTATAATCGATGCAAGCCACTTTTCGAACTAATAAGGCTACGAATATGCGAACGATAATTCCGACAATGATCTCGGCTATGCATCTACCTCCACTGCTAAAATGCGAACGTTTAAAATAATGTCAGCTTAAATAAACGAATGTCGTGGAAAATCCCTAACGACGACGTTAAAGTCGGCGAAAAGAAAACGACTGCTTGATGAAGTGCTACATTCATTTGAATGAACAATATTTTTACATAGTTTCACTATTTCTAACAATACGTAGAGTTCTAATATCATATTGTATCGTAAAAATGTTAAAATACAAAAACATTACAAAACAAGACCAATCAACGGTTTAACCATGTTGAACGAACTAATTCCAATCAGATGATTAACAATAAATAGGTTTTATGTTTATGCATCTACCATTACTACATGTAATAATTATTATTAGGTGGTAAAAGACATGACATCTTTGGAAATGTGAGATATGCGCATAAAGATATTCATAGAAAAATTTGTAAAAAGTTGTGTAATGAAAGACAATAAAAAATCAATAATTTGTGGGGTTCAGACAGAGAGAAATATAACTGACTGATGATAATATAATATAGTTTATTAAATTATGATGATGTGATGTTGAGCGGTATTTACAAAAGGTTTACAAAAAAGTGGCGTGGTTATAAAAAATACAGAATACAAAAAAAATTATAAATATAATGACTAATAAACTTATAAACTGACTGATAAAATACGCAGACGAATATAACAGATTGAAAGTATAATTATTAAACTGAGAATTAAGAACTAAGGAACCGATACAGACTGATACAGATTAAGAACTGATAGATTAAGGAAGTCTTGAAGCTTAAGACTCTCACATATTTATATCATAAAAGAGTGACACTCCTTTGGAGAGGAAAGGAGATTTTGAATACTATCGACCAATAGCAGAAGGATTCTCCCCCCCCCATAGTCAACCGATGGGTACAGCTTTTGTTTTGATAAAGATCGTATGCAATTAGGAACTTCGTTTTTTTAACAACGGAATATCGGTTCCCCCCAATTTCCGAGTGGAGTCTCCTTTCACCAAGATCGATAGCATATTCAAACAGAAAATAAAATAAATGAAGAACTAAATATTAATCTTATCTTTTAAGATAGCGTATTTAAACAGGAGATAAAATAAAGAAAGAACTACATATTAATTTTATCGCTTACAAATTTAATAATAAAATATCGTTCACTCGAAATATAAAAAAAAATATTGAATAAAATGAAACTTATTTGGTATTATCTTTGTTACAGCTTTTGTCCATCTCTAGTAGTGATAGCTAATATAATGCGTTTGTCAGAAAACATTGCCGGTGTGACGATATTGACATTCGGAAACGGAGCGCCTGACATCTTCACGTCTCTTGTGTCCGGCAGCGAAGATTCTATAATCATGTTCACAGAATTGATAAGCGCAGGCGTCTTGGTGACAACAGTGATCGCTGGTTCTATTGCAATGATCAAGCCTTTTCGTGTACACTTAAAGCCCTTAATAAGAGATACGTGCTTTTACATAGCAGCTGTTTGTTGGATAACCTATGTTGTACATGACGAGAGAATTTATCTATGGGAAGCTATAAGTACGAATTATTTTGTACTACCACTACTTACTATTACTATTATTACTCTTATTATTTTTAGTGTTATTATTATTACCATTACTACTCTTACTATTAAGAATCAATTGCTTGTCGTAAAAATTTTAAAAGAGGTTCGAAGAAGGGTGAAACGGTGGTAGATGAATTTAATTAAGTCGACCAAAGAGAATTCGCTTTCCAACGTGAGCCACGCAATCTGACGTTCGAAGACTTTCCAGCAATTTCTCTTCTTCTTCTTTTTATTTTCCTTCTTTGCCTTAGTCTTTCTTTCTTTCTTTTCGTTCTTTCTCCTCTCTTCTTCACTTTTCTCGCATAGTTTCTGTCGTGCCAAGCACAGATTTTCACCCGCCGTAAATTGGATCGGATTATTTATAGCCAGTTTCGACGAGAGTCACGCATGCTACTCGGACTGTGCTAAAACTCGTGAAAGAACTTTTTGATACTCGCTGTGATATAAGATCGATTTTGTACGGTTTAACGTTAAACGAAATGAATTTTGCTCATGTATGAGAAAAAACCAAAATCTGATCGCATATATAGGTCGTTTTCTTAATTTAATCTATTCGATTACAATTTTTAAATATATTGCATACGACTTTTTTCCAAATTTTTCGATTAATCCAATGATTATACCATTAGGTTGTGGGTAAAGTTCGTAACGATTTGGATAAAAATATGTTCTAGATGAAAAAAAAATATGAATCGGGGTATAAACTTTCCATGCAATCCGAATAGTTAAAGTTATTATTTTGAGAGGAAATTCCGCGTGGTAAGAAAATAAGAAAATAAAAGCAAGAGACTTCATTATCGGAAAGTCAAATTGTAATCAAGCGAGTATGTATGCATCCACAGATCTGGGAAAGATTGGAATTTCACGCAAATTTAGTGTCGTAAAACCCGTTGACCTAAATTCACTCATCTAAAGACGTAGTCGGAGCGGGTGGAACTTGTCGCTAGTATTCTTCTCATTATCCGAAAGGAGTGCTAGCGTATTTTTAATTTTTCCTCGTGATTTCTGAACGCTTCTCATTTATGCCCGATATCATGGTATACCTATATATCTTCATATCTATCTAACATTTGATGCATCACCGATTTTATTACGAACATGATATGAAATATAAGACGTAGTATCAATACTTTTTTTCGAATACGAACTTCATTAGACAGATTTAACGATTTTATCTTCTCTAAATTTAAAAGGTAAAGGAAATAACACGAGTAAATTTGCGAAAATTTTAAACGTTCCTCTCCTCCCCTTTATTATCCTATGATAAATTGCTATTTCAACGCTGATATCGTTCATAATTGCAGGTCTTATTCTCCTCTACGTTCTTTTCATCGCCAATATCGTGATAATGCAAGCCTGTGATACTCGAGAGGAAAAAGTGAAAAGTGCGTTTCGTTCCTGCCTGTTATAAAACGAGCATTGAGAGGAATACACCGTCGTGGAAAGTATCCATTCCCTCTCCTCTCTCACCTTTTTATCCCTTTACTCTCTGAGACACGCTTCCGTGCTTTCAGGTAGAATCCCAAGCGTACCGGATCCAGATGTATTACATGCTTATCTGCTGAACAAAGATACGAACGCTATCGCCATCCCACGGATTCCCACGAGGAGCCGTCCTTTTGGCTTTCGAGCCAAACTCGGTACCAATTCCCTTTCCCTACCTTTTTTCATACTTGTTCTATTTTTTTTTCTCTCCCTTCTGTTTTTACACATCTTTCTTTTCGTTATTTATTCTTTTTTATATTTCTTTTTATTTTTATTACGCTCGATCAAATCCATCTGTAATTTTTTTGTAAGAAAGTCCTATGCATAACGGTGGTTTAGTTTTTTTCGTATTTGTTTAAATCCTATACACCTAAGGAAAGTATCGTATACCATTTGTTCTATCCACGATTCTTTTCTTTCTACAAAAAATATTATTTTTTCATCTTACCTTTAAATTATTCAACACCCTCTCTAACGTAGATCGCTATTCTTTTCTTTTACTGGACTTTTTCTATATATTTTGTTCTTTTCTCTTTCTTTTTTTTTCCTTCATTCGTTCTTTTCTCGAACAAAAATTAAAAAGTTCACATTAGTACACGCAAATTTGTTTCTACGAACGATCGATTATTCATGAAAAAAACTCTATTTACTTTGTTATTAAGAATTAAAAAAAATTAAACAAAAAATTTTTGTTTCGAATCATAAGAAAACGAAAATATTTACAAAACACAGATGTCGCGATGGCCGTTGAATTGGACAGAACACGAATTCGTAGCGATGGCATTAAGATGGAGAACAAAGTCAAGGAAATATTCAAACGACCAAGAGATCTATTTAAGGAATTTCTTTACGACATTAATCCGATCTCGAGAGAGGATTGGACAGAAGCAAACCGATTTTTTAAAATCATTCTGATTGTACGTTCACCGGCTACGTTTCTTCTACAATTATTTATACCCGTTGTAAACGTTACGGCGGAAAAGAGAGGTTGGTCCAAGCTGCTAAATTGCTTCCAGCTGTGTGTGACACCGACGGTGGCGTTGTTTCTATTAAACGGTTAGTCGCATTAATCCTCGAGACGCCTACACGTAGTAAGCCCTTTTTTCTTTTCTTTTTTACTATTTTTCTTTTTTTTTTTAGTTTCTTTCTTTTTACGTGTACCAATAAACGACGGCCGCCTTGAATCCTTGAAGAAATGATTTTGCGCACGAAGAAAAGGGGGAAACATTCCCAGCACGTTCAGGGGAAATTTAATTCGCATTTAATTTCCTTATGGCTCATGACTCCTCCGAGCTGTACGACCTAATATTACGTGACAAACGCGTTTCTCCGTTTCCGCGTCGTTTTTCTCTTTTCTCTCGGCTTTTTCTCTATTCTTTTCTTTTTTGTTCTTTTTCTTTTTCTTTTTGATGTTTCCTTTTCTTCAATAAATCTCACGCTTAATCTCGTTGCAGTCGATTAATTGATACGGTAATTCAATTAAAGGGTTCGTTCAATAAAGTTGTTCGTATAGAAAAAAATTTCGAAAAAATATCGCGAATGTCAGAGTTTTCAATCCGTTGGATACGTCGAGTAATTTATCGACTCGCACGCATGAATTTTTCTGTTGATATAAAAGTTTGAAAGAAAATACGTCAAACGGAAATAAGCCTTGACGAATGAAACGTATCGTCGATGAATGACTAAAAATATTTGCAATGTATATACGTATGTACGCGTTTTGCAGTCGAGTATTAGATTTTACCAAATAAAAAAATATCGTAACGATCAATCGTTAGGGGACCAGAATGAAATGTGCAAATCTTTCTACTTTGTAAATCCGACACGAATATCGTGTCAACTCGTTTCCGCTCATTTTACACGAAACTCTAGAGGCGTTAATCACGAATCGTTGACGATACGATACGATACGATCGTTAACCATCAGAAATGTTGACCTCCATTTAATTTTCATCGTTCCTTCGCAGTCTGGCGAGTGAAAGTTGGCATGGTGCCGATACTACCGATATTCTTCGCTTTCGGGACTCTAATAAGTGTAATTGTGTTTCTAACGACTCACGCGGATCGCATACCAAAGTATCATAATGTGAGTTTTTTTAAATTTTGATTATTAACTTTAAAATAATACTAAAATATCTTTTCTCTCAGAATATTTGAGTATCATATTACTAGTCTCGTCACAATTTTTCTTTTTAGAATTTTGTTTGAAATACTAAAATATTTTTTTATGATATTAAAGAATTATATAGGGGGAGACTAGTCAAATTCTTCTTTTTAGAATTTGGAAAAAGTACTACAATATTTTTTTATCTTGATGCGAGTTTAGCCATTTTTTTTTTACTGTTTCAAAAAAAAGACACTAAAACATTTATTCTTTTTAACATTTCATCGTAGAGAATAATGCCTGACAGGTGATTTTCGAATTAATAAACGTAGGTTTTTGCGTTCTTCGGATTCTTTGTTGGTATGCTGGTAGTTTATTTGGTGGCTGGAGAAGTAATGGCCGTGTTGGGATGCATAGGATTTGCCTGCAGTATTTCGAACGCCATGTTGGGAATCACGTTTCTTGCCATGGGTAATAGCATCGGGGGTGAGTTAGTATGAAAAATGTATTTCATAAGTAGAAAGCGAAAGTACGTACTTATAAGCGTTTACGAAAGCTAACACTAAAAAACCATTTTGATATTTCATGACTTTTGAAAAATAACAATGCTCTCTAAAATTTACGATTCAATCGTTCCAATTATCTGTTTGAATTATTTTTCACCAATTTCTGTCAGAAATTAATTCATTTCTTCGACGTGAAACATCGATCATTTGATTTAAAAAAAGGGACCAATAAATAACAAAGTCGATCGATGAAAAAATGCTCGTTGATAGAACGGTATACTATATTACAAATAGCTTTTCACGATCGGAGGCATATTTCAATCGAGATGTAAAAATTAATCACCTTCGAATGTAAAGCAAACATGTTTCCATACATTTTTATCCAAAAATCAAAATAAAAAAGGAGAAGAAAAGATAGAACAATACATTGAACAATAATTAGAAAATATCACAAATAAGAATCGAGATAAAAAGGAAAGATGTCATTAAAGGGACGTTAATTAATCCTTCAAGTATTTCATTGTCCCTTCCAAGAGCTTTATCTTCTTTTTTTTTATTGAATTGTTCGTCCACTTTACCGGTCAAACAAATTTAAACTTTCTTAACTACGTCGTTTTACCTCAAAGCATCGTAATTTAATTCCTACTGTACTTGGGTATCGCTCATTTCGACGCCTCAATTATCGCTTTGTAATCGGAACTTATCCAATACCTCGTATCTCCTTCAACTTAAATTATATTATTTCCGTTCATACGATGACATTTATTGTTAATAAGAGTATACATTGAATTAGCTTTTTCAAGCATGCATATTTTGTATCGAAAGAAAAAGAAGAAGAAGAAGAAGTAGAAGATGACTCGAAGAAAACCGAAGTTTCTATTTATGTTTCGAAGCAAGTTAAATGAAAGTTCGAGAAAGTTTGGCGTCAATATTAATTTTGTTTTCTCTTATTTATGATAAAATTACATTTTTTAATAAAAGAACAAAAGAAAACACAATTTCAATTATTTCAAACAGTTTCTATAATCGACAAAGAATGTCATAATAAAATATCATATCGTATTTAAAAATGCTTCAATCTTCGTCTGCATATGACATTGCAATTAATACTTAATTAAAGCTTGATCAGGACAAACAGAATTTCTATAATTACATTTCGTATATCAAATATAGAAAATAATTTCTATTTCGAGTAACATTACCTGTTTTCTGAATATAATTGTATTGTTGTGAATCTACGTACAGACTATTCACTTAAAAACATGCAATATTGAAGTTTGAGAACTATAGAAAATTAACAAAATTGTTCTTTTATTACGAGAATGAAAAATTATCAATTGAAAATCTTGTTACAGATTTTATATCCAATGTAACGATAGCTCGGCAAGGTTTTCCGAAAATGGGTTATGCGGCTTGCTTCGGTGGTCCTATATTTAATACTTTGTTGGGACTGGGATTGACTTATGGAATATCAGCCGTATCTTCTTCAGATCTAAGGACGAAAATTCGCCTGAGCAACATGGCACCGGGTTGTCTGACTTTCCTATTGTGTTCGCTATTGACTACGATCATCTACTTGAATATCACAGGAGCAATGGCACGACGTTCTTACGGATATCTTCTTTATTCGTTATATTTGGTTTTCATTCTCATTCAATTTCTCAGCGAATTCCACGTTATTCATCCCCTAGGAATGGATCATCGTACGGACGAGCCGGACGGCCGATGAATAATCGAACCTTATCTACCGTTCTCTTGGAACGTAACCTACGAAATGTTATATGGAAATGCTGATGCGTTTTTTACCTACTCTTTACGTTAATGATATATATATATATATTTGGATTGATCGATGTCGATGGAATTACCATTATGGTAGAAATGTGGAAGAATATTTGTAACGATCAAATGTTGGTACTTATTCTTATCGAACGAAAGAATAAATTATGTTTTCTAATATATACAAATTTCTCAATATGTTTTTTATTTAAAATCTGGATCAATCGATCGTTCGTTTAAATATTATTATTTTTCTATTTGAACTACTATTCAATTTCTTCGGATTAAGAAAAAGCTCGTGGTAAAAACGTGACTCGAATTCAAACTCGAAATATCGAAATTAAAAATATTTTCTACATTGCGTATTTTTTCCTTTTTTTTTAACCAACATATTTACAATTAAATATTGATTGGAAGATTTTCATAGTGAAAGAAAAAAGCGTCAAGTTTGAGAGTGTATGTCTACATTCGATGAAGTAAGAAAGAATTCGAACAAATTCGATAAAATATAGGGGTATCAAAATATTCTTTCGATCGTCGATAAAGAATCCCCAATTTTGCCGCTTACGGCTTTTATATGGAAGGTATAAAAAAATATTTGTGTGTGTGGGCAAGAAAGCGGTATAGAAGCGAAAAGTCCCGTAGCTTTATTAGATCGTTCTCGGACATTTCCTTGGGGACGAGGTCACTGGTTCCAAAGGTAAAGGCGAAGATAAAACGTGGCTACGATAAGGTAAAAATAAGAGTCACGTTCGCAGTCGCTAGCCTTCGCTAACTCTACTCGTCTTCTTACATTTTGCATGTTTCTGTACATCATGGGAATCTCTCTCGTTGGCGACGTACACGAGTGTAATTGAATCTGTTATTAGAGTAGGGACGAGAGAGAACCATCGTTGTCACGTCGAGACACTTTTTATGAACCCTTTTGTAATTTAAAGAAGAGTCGTCTCTTCAAACAGGGAAAAGGGTCTAATCTTCAAAACGAGTCAACAAACAATACGACTGTATTCTCTCGTCTCTCGAAACATTTTCTTTTTTCATCTACCTACTATACAAATATCAATTGTATAAGATATGAAAGAAGAATTAATATTACCAACATAGAAATATACATAATATATTCGTTTTGAAATAAGTAGGATATAATAATGCGACGGTTATCGCCAAGAGAATATCGGTGAGAGCTAATTTGAATCGTGATTCATGATGGCATCGATCGGAATCGATGATAATGTGTTATCGAAATGCATTCGAGCAAAGGGGTTAAAGGGACGAGGGGTGAGGTCAATCTGAATATATTCGCGCCTACCATCAAGGACACCAAAACGGAGATTATCTACTCTTTAGCAGAAACCAGCTCAATTATGCAAAGTTAATTTACAGAGGAAGCCAACATGATAACTCTAAACTGGTTATGAAAACGAGATGCTATCTACGTCAAGCCTGGAATTCTCTCGTATAGAGCTGCTAGGGTACCAACTGGATATCTAGACCCGCCGGATTTGTTCTACTCAGGTGTAAAAAAAAATAGAAAAGGATATGAAAAAGAAGAAGGATAGAGTTTAGGAGAAGGAAAATGGTGGGTAATTTGTAAGCGTGCGAGTTAACGAGCCCATTCACCGAAATGGCCATTCGTCTTTCCGTGGTAATGCAATCAGCACATTTCGAGTACTCTTTTGCATTCGTTTCTACTAGCTCGCCAAAACTCTTTTTCTTCTTTCTCTTATCTTCCTTTCATTCCTCTCTCTCTTTCTCTCTTTTTGGGTTAGACTCTGTCTTATATCTCGTTCTCTAATTACGTAAAGAATTAATGACTCGTCTCTCACCGTTCAAGCCGTTGTCAGGCAAACTCGCATAGAAGATAATTAACTGCGTACCGATGCCTCTACAGCATCGTTATGCTCGCTGGAAACAGGGATTCCTTGTTTTCATCCCTAACCATTTTGAACTTTCGACTTTCCTACTTCCTCGCACTTTCTCCCCTGTCCCTTTTCGATTTTACACAAAATTCTCGTAAATCTCAACGCGTACGCTCTCTAGTACCGTAACGAGAGTCCTCATCGCGAAGGAAACCGTTGAGGAATATGGTCGAATATATGAAAGTAATAGAACATGAACGATGAAAACTAATGAACAGAATATATTAAAAACTAACGAACCTATCCTAATAAGTATATCATTTATAAACACATTGTTTTATATTATTGTTCGTTACTTGAATAAACAATAGTTTAATATTTGTTGTGATTATTTCGATTGCAATATGAATAGTTATCTTGAATGTGTATTCACTTTGTCGAATGGTCCTTCAATCGATTCTGAACAGATTGTTTTGGTACTGGAAGATAGTAGAGTTCTCGAAAGTGACTGAGGAAACAATGGATAACAAACGAGTAAGTAAACAAATAAAGAAGTAGAGAAAGGGAATAGATAAATATTCAAACTATAAAATCAACATTCTGTAGCGAAACCATTATTCCTATTCTCGTTTGAAGTCTCATCAGTACAAGGGCTTACATCTTGTTGTATTATAATAAGTAGATTATTTTCATCATAAATATAGAAATAATCATCGTAGCCAAACATTTTTTTTTGTGAGTGTATTTAGAATCGTTATAAGTATAGCGTAGAAATCACTGTTGGAATTTCAAAGTAAGAACGACAAAAGGGATGCGATAAAAGTGTCTGATAAATTTCATTGTGGGCGTGGAATTGTGTGTATCAGGCATAAGATCTCGAGAGTAGTGAAAAAAATTCGTGGAAGTCTCTACTACTGCTTTTCTCGATACATTCTACCCTACTTCTCCTTTTTCGAAGGACGACGTTCTGTAAAATATGTAAGTCGAGGAGGGTAGCGAACTCGTTTACATGCGTAAAGGAAGAATAGTATAAAGGGAGGAGATAGTCTAACAACCATGTCGAGTCGAAATATGAAAGCAGACAGTAGTATTAATGTTGGACCGGCATTACTACCACGTGGATCGAAGAGTAGAAACACCGTCGTCTTCGACAACGACGACGACGATGACGACGGTACGCTGTGTAACGGTTCTGGACCATCTCTTACGAGAGACAGAACAGAGATTGCCAAGGTTACCATTGTTCCCTGTTAGTAGCCTTTTCAACGTGTGTATGCTAAGGGAGCTGCCCATTGTCTCCGGCCAAAAGTTTAATTCTCCTTCGTATTCTCTCACTCATTTGAAACCCCTTTCTCTCATCGTTGATAGGAACAATGAATAAAGATGGCTCGAGAGGAGGAAAGTTTCACCAATGTAAAGAGAAAAAGAGAGAGAGAGGGGTAGAAAAAAGAGAGAACCGACGAAATCTCTCACTCTTTATGTCGAAGTCATTCTCACGTAGATCCTTCTTCGCAAGAGAAGTATTTTTACTTAAAAGTGGAAGAAATAGGGAAGAAAAAGAAGAAGTACTAGGTAGTAAAGAAAGAAGACTTCTTTGTGACTTTCTGCTCGACGCGAACAGCACTCCTCGTTCTAATTATGAACCTTCGCCGCATCTCGAATGAGTTTTTATACGGTCTTCCGACTGCGCACGCCTGGGGAAATGGATTACAAAAATTAGAGCGAGCATTCTTTCCTCATAGTCTTTTCAAACGCACGGCCGAACAAGACTTTTGAAAGAACGTTCCACAATTTTCTTACTTGGGAAAATATCTTAATCCGCTATGCTTTACTTTCGACAAAAATTATTCCGATTTTATTATAGTAATTGGAATGGTATGGAATGTTTAAACCAATGTATATGCGTTGAAACAATCTGAAATATTATTAGAGTGCATTAAAATATTTAAAAAATTGTTAATAAATCGAAAGGAATGTGTTTTGTTACATGAAAACATCAAGTATACGATCAGAGTACTGTCCTTCTCGGAATTTACCTTCAGACTGACGGGTTGTGCTCTATCAAAATTCTTATATTCAATGTTGTATATATGACTTCCCGAACACTACACATGTGTATAACGGATATACTATTTGTAACAAATAGAAATTAAGATAAAAACGTTCTAATTTTAGTATTTTTTGAATTCTAATGTAATTATTTTATCTCTTCTTCGCAGTGATGACTTCATCGACAACATTAATCGTCGAGAAAAAATCTTTACGAATGATTGCATTGATTACATTACTATTTAACAGTTATAGGAAATCCTACCAATGCCAAGTAATTTTGAAACTACGTATCGTGAAATGAAAAAATGCCAAAAAAAGTCAGACCGGATCGATTAGATGGATATCAAGCCAAGCCTGGAATCAGATAGATACTGGATCTTTGCCCAGACTCCATCGAAAAATCTCTGACAAAAATGGTCGTGCCAACGAGAACTCACATTCCTTTCAGACGGGGTGTTTATTTGAGGGTGGAGATCACGATGATACTGAATAGTAACGAGCCAGAAGAATACCCTTCACATCCGTGTTCGCTCATCCCTCTTTTACTATATATTATTAGGGATTTTCTAAATTGGATACACATTACATACAAAATTACAAGGGCTAATTTGTTTCGATATAAAACCATATAGAATATAACAAAACTAAATCCTATATTTATATAAAGTTGCATATCAGGAGTATTAATTAAAATAAATCAAATGTATAAATAATTCAACTTTGTATGTAAAAGTATCCAAAATCCTATGCAATCCATACTGTCTCATTGAACTTGTAAAAATGTTCAGTAAATTTTAACGATATTCATACGAGTAAAGAAAAAAAAGAATTTCGATGTGTAATATATTAGGGATGAACCCTTCTTGTCCAGATTCTGGATCGTTGCCCAACATCCATATAGAAGATTCTTGTCTGGTTCCTTCCATGCGAACGAGAAATAACGTGGCTTTCACGCAGAGTATTTGCTTCAAAGCACTTGTAGTCAAAGATTTTCTATGATCGTAGATGGAACATCATTGAGAATAAAGCATATATGTTA